ATTTATGTGTTTGCATTACATTTCATTTAAATTTGCTTTTTACGAACAGAGAATATTTGTTAAATTCAAATATATATGTACAGGACATGCTTTAAATTCGTATTATATAATTTTCAAAATTTTTTGCAGGGAAAATTTAAATAAATAAGAGCATAAATAAAATATTATAAATATTATATTTAATGCATATAATAATAGAAATAAATTATAAAACACAAATATAGATCCAATTGGAACAAGATGTTAAGAAAGTTGCAGACAGGGTGGAAAACGCGTATGGGATTCGAACTCATGACCCCAAAAGTTAAGCCATGCAATCGTCTAACTTTACCACTAAGTTAAGTTACCACTAAGCCATCGCACAGGAATGGCATGCAATTTTGGCTTATATACATCATCAACTAAATGAATTCTTAAAACTTAATTTTTTTTGGTCCTATTTCAGTGTGCTATTGTCTAAAAAATTGAAAAGAGTTTGTTCTTCAACTTCTAGTACATTTCTTATAAAAAAAACATTATCTTTTAAAGTGGTGTTCCAATTGAAGTTAAACAGGCTGCTCAAAATATATTCCATGCGCATACATATGTTAGCCAAAAAAGGATATTTATAAATAGAGAAATACAAATTTAACATACTCTTTAATGCAGTGGAATATTTAAAAGGCTATCAAATTTAATTTATAATTAACGTTTTTAGTTTTTACCAATTTCAAAAAATAAAAAAAAAAAAAAAAAAAAAAAAAATAACAAATCTTTTAATGCCATATCTGATTTTCTATAGCATTTTGATATAGTCAGACGTTCATTTTCATTAAAGGTAAATGTGTACACAGGAAAAGTTGTCAGGACAAATTTTGCTATTTCATGGATTTGGAATTATAATTTTGCGTCTGATTTTCTTGAACTGAATTTCTTGAAAGCCTGATTTTATCTGCGAACAAGTACTGTAGTTGCAGTTATCTTATTTTTCTTATCTTTTTTTAACTAAATTCAGCTGATTACTGTCTTTTTCAGCACGCAGATTTCTCGCTATAATGTTAATTCAGAAAGAAGTATTTTTTAGCGAAACATTCTTTCCCTAAGCCAGCGTTCACCGCTACTTCTGGCGCCATTAATTTTTGGTGACAGCACCTGATTGCTCCTTTTTATTGCGTGACCCCAAAGCATCCGCAGACATACGGATAGAAGTTGAACATTGTTGAACTCCATCTGTACGTCATCCGTCACCGCACATCGACCGGATTGCAGATGTCAATCAAAGTGAATTCGCTCGCTGATTGGAGAAACGCATAGACACCGCAACACATATGCAGCAGTGGAAATGGGCCTTTAGTCTCTTTTCTGTGTGTGTGTCATGCCTTGTAGAGCCTTTTGAATGTATAAACCTAGTCCTATTTGTTTCAATGGAAGAGTCAGAGTTTTTGCATAATGTAGCTAGTACACTGGTTAAACTCCTTAATGTAGGGAATCCAAGTCAATCTTTGATCCCATGTAATACCCAAGTATTTTAGTTCTTTGTAGGTTTAGACCTTCCTATTGTTGATAATGACTCCTGGACTAATTTTGTTCGACTAAATTTAAGAAAAAAAAAAAATATATATTATTTTTATTATAAAGGCTTTGGATTGCTGATGATCTGCACAATGATATAAAGAGCTCCATGTGCCAAAGAGTCAGAAATTTATAACAACTAAGATGATTAATCAGTACTCATCATTAAGTTTCAGTGGTTCAATTAGCCTACTAAGAGCAGGGAGTAGGCAAAAGCTGGCACGTTGACAAAATGTGGCCTTTCTAATTGCTTTATTAAGCAATTAGAAACTTTATTAAACAGCCCATTATGAAATCTATGCAACAAATTTTCATGAATTTCATACCTACCAAAATCATATGCGTGCATTTAAAGTGTGTATGCACATGACTATACTAGAAATCAATTTAAGCTACAAACACCAGATTTGCATCCTATCATTTTCAGCAGCTTTAATTTAGAAATTAATGCTATATGAATATTGTTGAGATAAAAAGACTAATCAGAAAAGAGAGCTTAGGAAAAGAATACTTCACTTCTAAATTTTTATTTGAAAATTTAACAATACACGTCAATCATTTGATGACCAAAGGAAAAAGATCCCATTTTTGATGTATTTGTAATTAAAAAAAAATTTAATTTATTTAATTGTAACTGAAATTAAAAAAAGAACTTCAGAAAGAGGTGTTCCTCTCCTCCTCACTGCATCCTGCAAACAACAAGTGCACCACAAAAGATTGTCATAGCCCTACTCACATGATGCACTAAAAATGATCTTTTGAGATATGGTGAAAGGTATTTGCCCACCCTGAACAAGCAGTTGTCAGAAATATCTGAAGTAAAGTTGTTAAGCAGAGCTAATTGCATAGTGCAAGCCACTATGAATAGCACTGCAATTAGCAAAGACTGACTGCTAGCCCAAAACCATGAATAGGAAGTTTGACTTCCACATAAAGTTTGGTTACATATATGCTGTCTTCTCTTTCTTTGTGGAAGTAGTGTTGGTCATTTCTAGTGTTACATCCTGAGAAAATTTTTCAGTGAACAGGTGACAAAAGGACTGTGTGTTCAGCAACAATTCCTGATAAATGATACACTCAGTATCTGGGCATTCGATTAAAAAAAAAAAAAAAAAAAAAGTAGACTATGAAGCAGACACTTGTTAACAGCCAATGTAATAGCAATGACACTTCAAATTACAATATGAAAATTGGATTAAGTGATATTGGATGGAAACTGGATTGTAATAAAGAAAGGCTCTTCTTTGATAAGTTATCTTTTTGCACCATAAAATACTTTACAGAGGAAAAAATCTAACTTATCAAAGAAGGCCATTCTTATGGCTCTTATTCTTCAGGGCTTCATATTTGGCATAACAATTTTTAGAACAAATATCCAGGCGCAATTAGCAGATAAAAGAAACTAGTTTAGAAGTGTTGTGATTGTGGCAAGTTTTGTGATATTCCATGGGTCTGCCACAGCTCTAGGCATCTTGAATTGTAAGGCACATTCTTATATAATAATAATGAATCAGGCACACTCTTATGTAATGATCATGTTATTGAAGAATAATGATAACTAGCAGCATGACAATATGCCATACAACTATAACAGAAGTATCCATAAATAGTTTCAGGGGTATGACAATTAGCCACCTAACTCTCCAGATCTTAACTCATTTGAGCAATTCTCAGTCTATGCATTAGATAGAACCTCCATGGAGCACTACACTCTACATGGTCTTGATTATCTATCTATACACATTTGAAATAATACATAATTGATAATAATAATGTGACTGCACCCTGAATATCTGTATCCTATATATTCAAATATATACATACAAAATCTCTGCTATAATATGTCTTTTTACCTATTAACTGATAACTCAAGATTGGTACTGTAAACAATGAATTTTTATGCATTTAACTCACTAGAAATTTAGAGGAATTAAAGAAATAATATCACTTTAATAGTTTTATGTAGAAATATACTCCTGTCAGGCTATGATGTCAGCCCAGAAAGAAAATTTATAAATATCTTTTAAAAAAATACATACAAAATCTAAAAATTCATTAAATTCACTCTTATCCACTGAAATATTATTATGATTCAGTAAATATAAGAAAAATATTAAACTGAATCCGAGTATAGGTTAAATCTTGTACAGATTTTACCTGATAACTCTGCCATCAAAACAGAAAATAAAAAGAAAAATATATCTGTATCCCAGAGGAGGAAAATACAAAATAGTTTTCATGATTTCCTTAGATAGCAAGTCACATTTATAAAGTACTCAGGATATGAAGGATATAATAGAAAATAAATCCTAAAATATATGCAGTTATAAAGGCAATAAAAGCCATTCTGCTTAATATTTTAATAGAATAAAAGAAGCTTTATTAATTAATTTAACCTATAAAATGGAGACATAATATCTAAATCAAAATTGATGGTTAACAGTAAAATAACAAATAGCTTGAAATTCTTTGTTCTTCTCAAAGGAGCAGCCAAAAATTTTTTAACAGAATCATTTCTCAGTTATATCTGGATAATTATAAATTTATTAAAAATTTATAATTTAATTTGCTTTTAATTCAAATAGAAAGCAAATTAAATTAATTACATTTTTCATAACACAAATAAAAAATAGAATAAAATACAAAATTTTTACAAATTTTAGTCTTTTTAATAAATTATCAAGATCTAATCTGTTCTGAATGACCCAAAACAAATAATACTGCATAAATTTAAACAGTATAGAATAAGAATTTTCAAAATTGGGGGGATCCTCAAATTTAGTATAACAAATTTAGAATTTAAGTGAAGAAATCAAGGTCGAATTATTAGAACAGAAAGACTTTTGTTCTTGTCAGGTAATTATTTTTGTCCATTCCCTGATGAGAGCGAAAATAATTCAATCTGATTGTTTTAACTATTTGGCCTTGACTTCTTCACTTTTGCTTAGGTACTAAATTTGTTCTTACTAGTTCTCAACTTTTCATTTGCAATTTTGCAATATTTTGGAATATTATAATTTTAGTGTTTGATTTAATTATAATATTTATATACATACAATCTGATCTACATCCTCTTGATTACATTGAATCAGATTTTGATTGCATTCCTTTTCCTGTATAATTTGTATTTTTTGTATTTCACATATCTGTAGTTTCAGAAATTCTTCTGTTTTAGTGACAATTGATTGACATTTTTTTCATATTTATTGGGAATTTTCAATTTTACTGGTATTGAATTTTATTTCTTTTGTAACTAGGAATTTGATTCTAAACTTCTTATTTTTTCTTGCACTTTTGATTGAACTTCCATTTCATTAATTTGATTATACATATATAATTATAAATCAGTTTCACAAAATCAATTAATAGTTGAAGAAATAACAGAATTTAAATACTTTCTATTGTAAAATAATATTTATGTACCTTTTCAACACATCTAACATTAACAAAAAGAATGAAATTGAAATTTGCTAAATTGATATTGAAAAAAATTATATAATGAAGATAATTAGACAGGATTAAGAACTAATCTTCTACAGAGGAAGCTGCAAAGGGTGCTATGCAGCTTTTATGTAATGACTGTAAAAAGTTTCAGTTTTAGTTGAAGAAGCAGGGAGTGACCACAGCAGGACATGTCGCAATACAGGATTTAATGAAGTTCAAATTTAGACTGTAAATCATACGAAATTTGTAAATATTGTATATATAGAAAATTATATTTCATAAATATTAAAAGAAATAAAATATAGTATTCATTTGAATCAGCACACAAGCTCCACTGATACCAATGGAAATATTCATATTATACAACTGTCAAGTATAGAAGACTATTTACAGGAAATGCAATAACTGCAGTTTGACATCCTGATAGTCTCATAGCAGTATCCAGAGGCTCAATAAAACCCAGAGCAAGTAGAGTATATAAACAAACTACATAGCTAAATATGAAATAATTCATTGTGCAAAGAAAAATCATTAAACTAGTGTTCCTAAAATTGCAAAGGTATTATCAACAATAAGGAAAAGATCCCTCAAGAACTGTTTGCAGTCATTTGAATAACTGATTATTATGCTATATGGCAGGCATGGCCAAATTGTGGCTCTCCGACACCCTAACTGCAGCTTGCCCTACTTGCTGCCCTTTGCTCCATGAAATGTGACTTGCTTACAAAAAAACAGTAGTTTAATTTTTTTAATCTAATTGCATTTTGAAATAAAAGTCATGCAATGACGTGCTTCTTTATTAATCACTAGTTTAATTTCTTACACTATATATGTAATAATTTAATTAATTTCAAACTGTCCGCCCCTGACTTATCATCAGAGTAACAAACAAAATTGCAAAAATTTTCATTTCTGCCAATTGCTATTACGGTAATGTTACTTTCAGAGCAGATAATGGCCAATGGAATACCATACAATTTACAGATATGAGGTAATTTAAAAAATAATCTTCTCTAACTTTTTTCCCCTCTCAGCTCAGTTTTACTTCAGGTAATTTCTGTTTACATTCCTTCTGTGTGTTCCCTTTGTTTCACAACATTTGCTATCCAATGTGTTGGAAGATTTGCTATTCTTTGTAGAATACTACATTTGTTCAGTCCTTGAATGGCTTGGGTGACTGAAGAAACGTCTTTCAAGGAGGAAAATCGCTGACCACATAGTGCTTTATCAATCTGGAGTAAACCTTCCTTATCTTATTTGGTTAGGAGATTTGTCCAATTTTTCTCATGTGCAGGTGTCTGTTAAAATTCATTTTGCAACCCTAAGCAAGTCAAATAATTTTATGCAATTTCCTCACATATTTCACAAACATTAATATGCTGCAGTTAACACATTCTTCTCGTAAAACTCTACCTCCCATAATAATTCCTTGGTAATTCTAGGGAGAGATCATAATTTATTTCATCAATGGTTGAGGATGCTAAAATTTTTGGACTCTCAGAAAGGAACATGGTTTGACAATGATTTCAATTCTGATTAAAGCTTTCAGTTCAAGTTTTGTCAATTGCTGTTGTTCGAGATAGAAGTATTTCAACTTCATCATCAAATTTTCATTTCAATAAACTTGCATCAAGCTATTAGGGATTAACTGGATACAAATGTCCGTCTTCCCGAAAGCTTCTATCAAAATACAGCATACTGATGCTGGTGAAATCGCTTTAGCTTGTGATATTTTTCTCGTATGTTGCTCGACAAACTTCTTTCTTTCTAGGTCATCACAAATATTGCAATAGGATGGAGACAGCACTATGATTTTTGCCCTCTGGTATTTCTAAAATGTTTCACCTTTTAGTTCTGCCACTCAGTGTTACTCTGGCTCTGGTACCACCATTACACTTCTTTAATGTGCTGGTATTTTTCTTCTTCCAAATCTTTGACTATCATGTTCATCTGACACATCCTTCACGAAAGCTCTGTAGACATAGTATGATCCACTGCCTCATCACTATGAATTTCAAGCAATGTAATGTGAAATTTTGTTGGATTTTACCCAGTAAACTATCAATTTTAAGTCTGATCTTTCATTTTTTATGACCATAGTACCCTCATACGCCTACAAAATTCATTTCAAAAATTCAAACTCTATTTTGAATCAATTTTCTGTGCACATTTTGTGTACACTTTCTAATTTGTGTAACCGTTGGGCTGAAGATTAAATAAAAAATTGTTTTATTTTATTCTTTCTTCTGAGTTGGTGTTATTTTACTTCGAAATTTAAGACAAAGCTAAATGCCAATCGATAGTCTTTATGTATCCAACAGTTAATCGTTTGAATAAGGTGGATCCCTACATCTGTGTGGCAAGAAATCAGGAACTAGACTATCATATAGATGTCTGCCACGTCACAAAGGGCTTCCACATCGAACATCTGTGCATATCCATGGAAATTTGGACAATTAAACTGTCATACTGTATCTACATTTGTAAAATAAATTCATTATATATTAGTTACAGGTATGTTTTCTTTTTGTACCATTAGCTTTGATTTTCCTTGTATTTGGTAAACATCTCAAAATTCAACTGCTACGGCTGAACAGTTCGACTGGTAGACAGTTGGAAAATGTCACCTACGGAACATTTATATATCATGTCACGAAGTACTAGATTTCTTAGCAACAGGTTATCTATTTCCAGAATTATCAGGATGATTCAACAGATAGTTTCGAGAATTTTCAACAAAGTACAGCATCTTGATTACATAAAAATTCTGAGAGATTTCACTGGATGCCACACTGAAATAATGCCAGAGCCATCAGAAGTGACACTGATGATTCAGATATTATTGCAATCACGTTTAATGTTTAGTGAATTTGTCTATACTGAGCATCAGCAAACTAGTCATTCCAAAGTTTTGAGTTAAAATGTTTAATGATTTTTAAGGTTAGGATTCAAAACATTTGAATGACAAAAAAAAGCTCTAAGCTAGAAAAAAACTTGATGCTTAAAATCTTTCCAAAAATTTCTAAGATCTGAGGATTCAAATGTCTGTAGGAAAATCAAAATGTGACTTATAATCTATTTTGCATTTAATGAATTAATTCAATTATTTAATGCCAGATTTGATCTCAATAAGTTGGTCTTCATGTTAATTGTGTGAAAAAAACAAAATTATTAATTTATATGGAAAAGTATAAAAAATTTTATAGCTTTTTTAAAATAGATTGTTCTTCCTTCTCGAATAATAGTTTCTCTGCAATGGTCGTAGGTTTGCCTCATTTCTTTTATTCTTTCTAAAAGATTTCTTTTGTGTTAAAGAAAAAAACACACTTTTTTTAATTAATGATTAAAAATTTATTCAAGGTCAAGAAAGCAGAAAAAGGGCACTGCAGGCCATGGCTCACTAGGACTGTTGCATGTACTATATGATCCACTGTAAAAAGTGAATTGAAACCCCATCACCTTCTTCAAAGATTAATAAGATTAAAAATGTGCAGTTACTAGTAGGAAAAAATATTATTCGTATTAAGAAAATGCATAAAATATTAAATTAAATTTACTTTCAAATAAGAAAAATATTATACAAAACAGTTGCTCAATTTCATAAAATTTTATGCTTTTAGAAACCAGATTCCCTACATATGAAAAATAATTTCCCTGTATCCGGAATTTGTAGACTTCGAATACTTTGTTAAATGATATTTTACATAGCAAATGAAGTTAGAGAAAAGTTCTTCTCTCAATTGAGAGAAGTAACAAAATTTATGTATACATAATTCCATAAACCTTTACGCTCACTTGTCTTTAGATATACCTGCAACTATGAAGTGCTACCAATATACCACAATTCAAGGAAATATGAAAAAATTACCTTATTGCCTACATTTTTTGTTTGTTTATTAAATAAATATGCACGCCAATCATCACTTATAATTCATACTTATTCAGCTAAATAATGCTGCATATAACTATTTTAATCGAACTGGAATAGTTTGCAACTTTATTTTCTGTGAATGTTTTTAATACTGTGAATTAATGGTATGTGAAAACTAATGATCTAGAACAGGGATGTCAAACTCATAGGTACACTTGGGTCAAACAAACAAGGTTTAACTTTAGGTGGGCCGCAAAAAATACAATTTTTCATTTAATTTTACTACCACTTGGTTTTGATATAGACATGCTGAATACAAAGGGCTGGAATAAACACGGTTAACGTTAAAAAGTTAACAAAAATTTATTCTTTCCACAAAAGATAAATCAAAATGCTGAAATATTTCTTCAAAAATATTCTAACAATATCACAAAATGTCAAACGTTTAGCAAAAATCAATTCAAAACAGAGAAACTAATTCTATCTCACAGCAAAATCGCTACAAACCAATCACATCATAAGTAACAAACAGTTCGCTAGAACTACAGCTACTACTGAGATGAGTTTTATTCTCGCTTTATAAGCTTTATAATTAATTCTCGAATATACTGGAAACATCTCTAAATATCTGGATTTTTGTGGATAGCAACAGCAATTACGAGATATTTATTTATTAGGTATTAAATGCACGCGCTGTTCTATTTTCAACCTTCCAACGCCATCTGTCTTTTCAAAAATCGTCTGCGTTGGCTAAGGCAACATGAGCAATCTAATTACAATTCTAAATAAAAAAAACTAAATAATAAATAACTATGAAATCCATAACAATATGAATTAAGTAATAATTAATAATAAAGCAAAGTGCATGCACATGCATGCACCAATATATCGTACAAACTATGATTGGAAAATTGAGATCATGAGTTCGGCCACATTCGGCTATCGGGGGATGCGTACAAGTTCTGAGTGCACGTGTCCCTCAAAACCCGAAGGTAGCTGAATGCAAGCTACTCACACGCATTTGTAATTTATGTAGTGTGTATGTCAGCACGCTGTGAGTAATCTAACAACACTGAATAAATTATCGTTAATTACTTAGCAGTAAACATTTCATTTTTTTTCTTCGTCGATATGTTATTATTATATAATATTATTTGCCGATATATTGGCCGGGCCTCAAAAATATTTGTTGTGGGCCGCGAGTTTGACATCCTTGATCTAGAAGAACAGTATAAGTGCATTAAGTTCGTTATAGGTCATACAGGGTTCGTACACATTTCCTTACATGAAAATTAAGGACTTTTAAGGACCATCAAAGAAAAAATTAAGGACCTATCAGCAAACAAAAAAAATGAATAGAATAAAGCAATTATCCATACAACCGACTTCATGCTTGTAATTTCACTTTAAGTGACACAGTCAACTACTATTATAATCACAATGTAAGAATATTTTGCAGATTAAAATAACTGATTTGTAAACATACAATTTATTTCCTTGGTTTTTTGAAAGATACTAGAATAATAAACTGTACAATAAAAGATACAAAACATTTGTACTTTTTTTAAATCTGAAATCTTTTCAGCTATTTTAACATCTAATTTATTTATGTCTATTTCCTTTTCTTTAACTATTCTTCTAAGTTCATTTGGCTTTGATAACAAATCAATGTTCCTGCTGGTCTAAGCTTCATCTGCTAAAGCATCTACTTCTTCATTAATATCTTTAATGTCCCTTTGAAGAAATTTTTCTTCTGCTTCATATAATCAATTCTTCTCAATATATTTCTTTTCCTCTTTGAATTTTCAGATTTAGTTAAAGATTTTTGTTCTTCTAAATACTGAACTTCTAAATAACGAACTCCACTTCTTGCAGAAGCTGCTGCTGATCTCATTTCTTTATTAATTTCGATATTAAGAACACCTCCAGAAAATTTTATGTAATCAAATACTGTGCATTGAAAAATGTATGATGAGTCACTTAAATTTTCAATTTCAATTGCTTTATTTACAGAGAAGCCCCTTTCCACAGAGGCCTGTTCATGTGACAAGATAAGAATACTTGTCACAGTGAATACTTGAATAGTGAAAATATACATTTTTTACTATATATATATAATTTATTTCCTAAACAATATTGATTAATTGATTATATTATCTCCTAAGTTTAATTAAAGTAGAATTATTTTAAAAGAGTGAATCCATACTGGTAAGTTATATTTTGAAAGATGTATATATATATAAGTCCGAGATCCGGACATCCAATATCTGGAATGATCTAAAATCCGGACCTCAAAGCCACCACCAAATTTTTTAGGGCTTTTTTGAAGGGAAGGGGTATGCTTTACGCACGCGCATTAGATTTTTTTCCTCATCATAAAAAAAATGCCGGAAATCCGATTCTTAATCTCAGTTTGGCGCTAAATAAAATATCTCATTATTGAAGAAATAATTATTTTAGCATAAATTTGTGTGATTAGTAACTTGACTCCATAGCTGCGTATCTGCTTGGCATAATCTCAAACCGAAACATTTGTTAATTTTACACCAACTAATATTTTATATCCTTGATGCCGAAATCGCGAATCATTATTTATTGTATTTTGCTTTCATCACACCGCATGTTTATCAACGGATGACAACTTGAGTGATGACTCATGCAGCGACGCCAAATAACAGAGTATTATCCGATTACAGATTTAAGTTTAATGCGCTAAAATGTTGACAAGGGGAGATTTAGCAGAAATTTCTTTCCTTATGCTAAAAATAGATTTTGTTAATGATACTCATAGGACAAACGATTATATTTAGTGCTATTTGAATTAAGAATAACTGATTTGTTATTCACATAAAGCCAGAACCAGCGCCAGATCTCGCATGGCCGCACCAGGCGGCAGAATTTAGCGAAGTTAAACAGAAGTTTTTCATTGCGATGACAATGCCCAATCATCAATCAATTAACGGAGGGCGAAATCTGTAGTATGGTTCTAAATCCAGAAAATACAGCTACCGATAGTGAAGAAAGTAACAGAGAGGTTACTGAACGAGAAAAAATTTTGATTGACAAGTTATTCGGAATTCTCGACACAGCAATTACAGGACTTGAACAATGGAACTTAATAACTGAACAAGAAATTATATGTCTATAGTATTAGTCTAAAGTATTAGCAGAGAAAACAAATCAAACAACTCACATTGAAAGAAATGTTTAATAAAGTAAACATATAAATATTAAGCTCTTTTCTTTTGTAAATTTTGATACCCTTTAAATCATAAATGCTTCATTATTTCATAAATCACGATTTCATATTTTCAATTTTATAATTTCTACGTGCCATCTTAGTAGATTTAAAATGATCTAATATCCGGAAAAATCTCAAATCTGGGATCGCCGAAGTCCCGACGAGTCCAGACCTCGGACTTTGTACACTGTATAAATATATATATATATATATACGGAATGTATATTTTCAGTTAAACTTCTACCCAATAACTTTAGTAATTCATGAAAGTTAATTTTGCGTCTAGTTAATTCAGGAAAATTAGTTTCAATTAGTTGTTTTCAGCTTTAAAAATATTTAAAAAATTTTTTTAATTAGTTAGTTATTTTCAACTAATAATTGTATCGCCATTAGCAAAAATTATGCATTACTATCAACAAAACATAGGTTTAAACCAAATACTTAATTGTCTATTGAAGCTTCAAAACGTATTTCCGAACTTCACTTTTTCTCAGCTAGCGTTACCGATTTTGCCCTTGGCGACCTAAAATCGAAATGGAGCCAACAGATTTCCCGCGAAATCGATAACAGACCCTCTGCAGAAATAAACTCATAATCCCGATATCCCATACATATAGTATGTGCAAAAGAGAATAAACTCCGTAGAAGGTGATAAAAAATTAATTTATGGCTTAATTGAAACAAACACAGAAATTAAGCTAAGCAAAACCGTGTAAAAACAAATTGAAATGATAAAACGAAACTTAATTTTCATGTGAATTTTCAGCGCTGACTCTCCCATTCTAGAAATTTCAATTTGTTTCAGACAAAGACCACATTTAAGGATTGCCATCCATCAATATCCAGTCTTTGTAGTCAGCTTGATGAAGCCACAGTTTATTGAAAATGCACTTTCCAGGCATCTCGTTCCTATTGGCGTCGGAAGGGTTGTGGCCTTCCAGGTTGGAATTGCTCTAATTTTGGCAAATATTTTCAGAATCTCCCCCCCCCCTTTTTTTTTTTTTTTTTTTCGAGCACCTTCATCATCACTTTCGCCTCTTAAAGAACTTCCGGCTTCACGCTTTCGTCACAATCTGCCTAAATTTATGGATAACACCTGTTTCGAAAGATTGGGTGAATAGCCAATCAGACACCGATACTTTCGTTCGGGTAGCTAATTTTTTTTTTTTGTTTTTTTTTTTTTAATCGTTTGCAATGCAAATCCGCCAACAGATTAGTTAAGAGCTGTGTAATTTTAATTCCATATTTATGAGAAATCGTAATTCACACCTAGAATGGCAATCATTAGAAATGACAAGAAATGTCAAATGAGCAAAATTAAGGACCGTTTATTCATTTTGGCCAAAATTAAGGACTTTTAAGGACCAAAAATCGTTTTTGAAAAAATTAAGGACTTTTAAGGAGCGTACGAACCCTGGTCATATTTTACTTTATTGAAAACTTAACATTTTTTAAATGATTTGGACAAAAAATCAGAGATAAAAATTATTACTGTAGATACTTTTTTTAGCCAAAGAACAGTGCAGTGCATAAAACCTCTCTGCATATGATATACAGAAGATTCATGACACCTGCAAAGTAGCTTTAGTATAGCATGCAGCATATCAGTGACTTTAATCAGATGAATAATGCAGACAACATTGTCTTTTGAATATTTCTGCTGTGAAACAATTTTTGGAAACCAATAACAGGACAGTGCAATTATTTACATAATTCAGTTCTTTGCAGTTTTTTCCCTCTTCCTTGAAATAAAAGTGAAGCTGGGGGGGGGGGGAAACTCACACACATTTTCCCATTCAGCACCAGTCATTCCATAAACAAAGGAAGAGTCAGACAATGCTGAAAGTCGTAACGAAAGATTGCTTTGTAAAGTTTTTTGCTCGTAGGAATAGTGATGTGATCAATATTTACACTACATTGGAAACTTGGTCAAAATAAATGGAAGGAAATAAGGTATACTGTAACTTAATGAATTTTTTAGATTTTTTTTTTTTTTTTTAGAGTAGCCACCATATACACAAAAACAAAATACCTACCTATCATATATCTTAGCTATGCGAATTTCCCCTCTGCCTTTGCGCAATGCCACACGGGTTGTTGAAGCATGTGCTAAAATATGACCCCCAATAGGTTTCTTAGGATCTGCTTGAAAACTGCACAGAAACAAATTAAAATGAGAACTGCACATCATATTCCATAAAAATAATTGAAGAAAATAAAATTTTAACTTCGTAAAATATATCCAAAGATGATATTCAATCGAGTGAATGATAATTATTTATATAACAACAACATCCAGTATCAAACATAAATGATTCTTTGAAAAATAAAATTAAGCATTAATATATAAAAAATTATTTATATAAGAAACAAGATTACTTGAACTCAGCAACTAAATCACCTCAAAACTAGTCCACAGAAGAAAGAAAAATTCCATTGCCTTGAAATTAATTCTAATCTTAGATATATACTGGATACTGATTTCAAAAGTGGCACAGGTTTATCCACATCAACTTTAGCTTTGGAAATATAATATAACTACCTTAACCCTTTCAGTTCTAATGAGCGCATATGTCCAAGAGATTAGATTTCATGGCCTATTGCGTAAATAAAGCCCACTTTTAAATGGGATAGGGAACAAAAATATGACTAAAGAAACTTGGCAACACTTTTAAATTGCAAATGGCACACTTATGTTTTTGAGCACGCCGATTACTTAAATTTCGATTTGTCTATGTTTTTTTTATTTTACAGTAAATACAATTATATTTAAGGCATGATTAGTATGAAATAGTTCTTTTTGTTCTTATTAAGTAGTAATTTAACGTTTTTAATGTCAGATTTAAGAAATTTTGAATAATTTCTTTTTGTGGGATATATTGTCCCAATCATATTTAATGGTGGGTTAATATGCCTCATCAGTGATCAAATTACTACATGCTGATATATTATGTTTATGAAACATATATGAAAATTGTTGCTGTATATAAACTGATGCATGTGGCAGAGTTTATGTTTTAATATATCACATAATATATTACCATAAATTTTAGTTTTGTTTTCTGAGAAAGGCTAATATTTTACAGGATTGGGACAAATAGTCCCAGCTGACAATATGATTGGGACATATTGTTCCAAGAGATTTCCAGGAAACGGGAAAAGTTAAAACTTTACACTCATATTACGCTTCTTTTAGTACATCAACATTAAATTAAACTACTTTCCATAGTTTAATTTTAATCATGCAAAAGTCGGTTGAAAAGGTTAAATGCCAATATAAGTAATTCCCACAGACAGTTAAAAAAAAAAAAAACTTTTAAAGTATACTGATAAAAGTAATGAGGTTACTATATGAAACAAAAGTATAGCACAATTAATTGTTCAGTTCTGAAGAAAAGGAATCAAAAACATAAATGGGTAAACTGTTGTGTAGATCTAAAAAAGCTAAGATTTCTCACTGAACAACAAAGAAAGTACACAAAATATCCAAGCATTTTTTTATCGCCTTTCGAGAGCCGTTGAATTCAAAAGGTTAATGCTACAGTGAATGATCAAATAAGTTCCCTGAAATGAGTGCAGAAAGCTGCCAGGATGACTTTTTAATCATCTACAGAGATATAACATATACAGTACAAAGTCCGTAATCCGGACATCCATTATCCGGAATGATCTATAATCCGGACCTCAAAGCCACAAACTTTACGCATTTGCGTAAAGAATGCGCATACATTACACGTGTGCATTAATGTATACTTTACGCATGCACGCATTGAAAGAAATGTTTAATAAAGTAAACAAATAAATATTATGCTTTTTTTTTTTTTTTTTTTTTTTTTTTTTTGCAAAATCTGATACCCTTTAGATCATAATTGCTCTTTATTTCATAAATTACAGTTTCATATTCTTAATTGTATAATTTCTGCATGCCATCTTACCAGATTTAAATTGATGATCTATAATGCAGAAAAACCCCTAATTCGGAATCGCTGCAGTCCTGATGAGCCCGGATTACGGACTTTGCACTGTATTTAATGAACACAAGCTTAGTCTTTGTTTAATTTAGTTTCCAAGTCTTTAGCAAAATAATTTCCAAAAAAAAGTCTTAATTAACACAGGACATAATCATTAGTTTCAGCAAGCTTGACTGAAATATGATTAATTAAATTTTATAATCTATCAGATTTTTTTCCTCAAAACAAGCTTCAAAGCATGGGTGTCTAAAGTGCGGTCCAAAAAGTCTTTAAAATGCGGCCCAAACGCAAATTATGAAACTATTTAAATTTACACATTTTTATTAAAAAATTAATGTTTGACTTGATTCATATATAATCGATTCATATATAATGACTTTGATTCATATATAATGACTTTGATTCATATATAATCGATTCGTTGGCATTTATTTTAAAATAAGAATTTAAATAAAAACATCTCAGTATGTCATGAGATGTATTAAAACCCTCCGCGTACGGCTCCCACGATTTCCACGGAATGCGAAATCTTTCTCGTAATACGAGTCACGTGAAAATAGTCTGCGTAAGTTTATTTTACTTATTTTCAATACAGATCCCGCTTTTTCTCCGTGTAGGCTAAGAATATTATAATATTCATGTTCAGGTTGTAGTGCAGCAGACACCCATTGTTTAACCATTAGTAATGTGGGAATTGTCCAGCTGCACTATCGATCTTTATTTGAACATTATTATTATTTTTTCTTTTTTTGAAGAATTACAATTTTTACTGACGGTTACAGTATAATTGTGACATATAGTGCCTTTCGTACTCGAAAATACATAACGGTAAATATAGAACATAATGGTAAATACAGAACATAAAGGTACATATATAACATAAAAGTAAATATATAACATATTAATACTAAAGGCGATCCATGTACAAATGCAATTTACAAGCATATATTATGGATATCATTATTCTATAGCATAATGGCAAAGGAGTATTTTTGTCTGCTCTTCAATTTTCAGAGAGGTATATAGCTGAGTACAATGCGAAATCATCTTTGTGTATATGAATTAATTTGCGGAATCTTTTAGACATTTCGCTTTGTTTGTGTGGTATGGCCCCACACCCACCCCACCCACCCGCCCCCACCACCCAGCCCCCTCCCCCCCCCCCCCCGTAATATGCCCCCCCCCCCCCCCCCCCCCCCCCCCCGCCCCCCACCCCCCCCCCCCCGCCCCCAACCCCTCCCCCCCCCCCCCCCCACCCCACCACCCACCTCCCCCCCCCCCCCCCCCCCCCCCCCCCCCCCCCCCCCCACCCACCCCCACCCCCCACCACCCCACCCCCCCACCTGCCCCCCCCCCCCCGCCCCACCCACTCCCCCCCCCCCCTCCGCCCCCCCACCCCCCCCCCCCCCTCCCCCCCCCCCCCCCCCCCCCCCCCCCCCCCCCCCCCCACAACACCCATCGCCCCTCCCTGCCGGCATCCACCCACACTCCCCCCCCCCTCCACCCCTACCTCCCCCCTCCCTCCTCCGCCGCACCCCCCCCTCCCGCCTCTCTCCCCACAATCTTTTTATGTTCCCCCCGCCCCCTCCACCCCCTCCCCCCCCCCCCCGCCCCCCCCCCCCCCCCTCGCCCCGCCTCCCTGCCCCTCTTACCGCCTTCCCCAACCCCCGTCTCCCCCCCCCCCTTCACGCCCCTGCCACTCGCCCGCCCCCCCCCGTCTCACTTCCCCCCCCTCCCCCTCCGGCGCTCCCCCGCGCTCGCCCTGCCCCTTCCCTCCCCCCCCCCCCCCCCGCCCCCCGACCCATTCTGCCCCCCTAGTGTCCAGCCCCCCCCCGCCACTCCTCCCCTGCCGTCTTCTTTTGCCGCCCCGCCCCCGCTCCCCCCTCCCTCCCCTCCTATGGGCTCTGTCGTCCCTCTCTCTCTTCTTTGCGCCCCCTCATCTTTTTGGCCCACCGCTCGTTGTCAGCCTTACCCCTTACCCTTGCATCCGCGCAACCTGCCCTCCTTCTCGTCGCGCCTCCTCGACTCTTCCTTCCTCCCCCACCGCCTCGTCTTCCGCCGCCCCGCTTCCTTCAACGGCTCCCCAACTCTTCTTTCCACGCCGCCCTCCACACCCGTCCCCGGCCCTCACCCCTCTGCCCCACCCTTCCCCCTCCGCCACTCGCCCCTCCCGCCTCCTCTTCTCCCTCCCACGCCCCCTACCCACTCCTACCCCCCCACCACCCGCCCCCCCCCCTCCCCCCCCCCCCCCCACCCCCCCGCCCCCCCCCCCCCCCCCCCCCCCCCCCCCCCTCTCCCCCCCCCCCCCCCCCCCCCCCCCCCCCCCCCCCCCCCCCCACCCCGCCCCCCCCCCCCCCTCCCTCCCCCCCCCCCCGCCCCCCCCCCCGCGCCCCCTCCCCCCCTCCCTCCCCCCCCCCCCACCCCTCACTTCACCCCCCCCCCGCTCCCCCCCCCCCCCCCCCCCTTTCCCCCCCTCCCCCCCCTCCCCACCCCAACCCTCCCCTCCCCCTTCCGCCCCCTCCCCTCCCCTCCCCCCCCCCCCCCCCCCCCTCCCCCTCCCGCCCCCCCTGCCCCCCCCCCCCCCCATAAACCCCCCCCCCCCTTCCTACCACAACCCCCTCTCCCAGCCCTCCCCCCCCCACCCCCCCCCTTTATCCCACCCACACCCCCCTCGCGCCCGAACCCGCCACCCGCTCCCGCCCCCCCCCCACGCTCAACCCCCACCCCCCATCCCCACCCCCCCCCCCCCACCGCCCCCCCCCCCCCCGCCCCCCCTCCCCCCCACCCCCCCTTCCCCACCGGCCCCCACCCACCCCCCCCCCCTCGCCCCCCCCCCCCCCCCCACCCTCCACTCCCCCACCACCCCCCCCCCCCCCCCCGCCCGAGCCTCCCTCGCCGCCCCCCTCCTCTCCCCCCCCCACCCCCCCCCCCCCCCCCCCCCGCCCCCCCCCCCCGTATCCCCTCCTCACCTCTAGTATTTCTCACTTTACCCCCACCCTCGCTGTCCCCACCGCGCCCCCCCCCCCCCCCCCCCCCCCTTCTGCCGCTGGCCCTTCCGCCCGCACCTCCCCCCGGCGCACCGGGCGCTCCCCCCCTTGACGCCCCCCCCCCCCCCCTTTCCCCCCTCCTCCCGCCCCCCCCCCGCCGTCCGCCCCCCCCCCCCTTCCCCCCCCCTCCCCATT